AATTATTTTAGCATTCAGAAATAATTATTTTAGCAATCTAAAATTATTTTGACAACCTAAAGTAATTACTTTACCAAACTAAAATTATTTAAGCAATCTAAAATTATTTTAGCAAACTAAAGTAATTGTTTTAGCAATCTAAAATTTTTTTAGCAAAGTAAAGTAGTTATTTTACTAACCTGAAATTATTTTGGCAACCTAAAATTATTTTAGCATTCAGAAATAATTATTTTCCCAATCTAAAATTATTTGAACAACCTAAAGTAATTATTTTTCCAAACTAAAATTATTTTAACAAACTAAAGTTATTATTTTAGCAACCTATAATTATTTTACCAACCTAAAATTATTATAGCATCCAAAAGTAATAATTATAACCTAAAACAGTTCAAAGTCCCACCCCCAAGCACCGTACCTAAAATTAATTGCCCCCAGCATACTCCGAAGCTAATAAATACCCAGAATCGAGAACAGCAAGCATAGTTGATCGAAAGTATCTAACAAAAGTGGGAAGATAAGACATCCAAGCGTGTTCATCGTTGTCACGATCGTGGTTCCTCGGCCGTGTACACCCCTTTAATCGTTCGTCAAGTGTGTGTGCATTCGGAATGTAATATATCCTGGTCGACACGTGCCGTACACGTGCCACCAAGTGTTTGTTTCGGTTTGTATTGTCACCACGTATACGTGGCACAGAGGTGTGCTTGCACACGTCCACGATCATGGGAGAGGGACGAATCTGTCCCTTTCATAATTCCACGCTCGTTCGAGTAAATAACGTGCCGCCAGTTGACAATTAGAACGATGGGAAAGAGATTCATTACATACAACAGACTAATAGCGAATCGATCTACTGTGTTCGACGTTATAGTTATTAAGTAACTATTCTTTTGTCAGTCTTGTAAGGCTGCTTTGGGGAGGTATTTCGATCAAATTGTTTATTGACAAGACTGCTGTAGCTGGAAATTTTTAGTAATATTTTTATTTTTAACAAATCTTTATATTTGCACAATATTTTCTTACTGTACATAATTCTAACTTGTTCGTATTTATTAAAATTGTTCATACTTGTTCATGCTTACTAAAATTGTTGATACTTGGTCACACTTATTAAAAATATTAAAAGGTAAAAATTGTGGTGAAAATTGGATGCGCTCTAAAATTAAGTACACCTCAATAAAAATTAACTTAATTGAAAATTAATAGTAGTCTCGTATTAGCTATATATCGTATAAGGATATTTAAAAGAGTAGAAGGTAAATAGTTAGAATATTAGTACAGGGTGTCTCACAACTAGTGTAGGTCCAGTGGAGGGTAGCTGACGTGATTCTGAACAATATTTCCCTTTGCAAAATTGGGATTTGAAGCTTCGTTTTTGAATTATTAAGGAAAAACACGGACCAATCAGAGCGCGAGGATTACGCATGCGCAGACGCGAGAGCGACAACTTCGAGCTAACGGCGAGTGGTAAATGCAATGTATAGTATATTCAACGCTTGGTGAGTGCAACGCGTAAGAAATCAATGCGTGGTGAATGTAACGCGTGGTAAATACAAGGCATGGCAAGTACTATGCGTGGTAGATGCAGCACATGGTAAGCAACGCGTGATAAATTCAATGCGTGGTAAATACAACGCGTGGTAAATATAACGC